TGTTTTTGTTTTTTTTTAAAGATTTTATTTGTTTGAGAGGGAAGGACGGTGCACAAGCAGGGGGATGGGCCGAGGGAGAAGCAGACTCCCCGCTGAGGGCAGAGCCCTACACCGGGCTCGTTCCCAGGACTCCGAGAGCATGGCCCGAGTGGAAGTCAGACACTTACCTGACTCAGCCACCTGGATGCCCCTAACTCAATCATTTCATGTCAGTTTCTTCATCTATAAAATGAAGGTAACAACGCCACCTAGCTCATGGGAGTCACGTGGGAATTGAGTGAAATGATACATTGAATTTGGCACCTGCTAGCCACTCAATAGCCCTTTTTCTTTTTATATAATGTTTACATCTAATAAATGTTGAGAACTAGCAGTGAAATATTTTCCTGTTGCTAATAGTAAACTAATAGTGTGACGATTAGGAAAGATGGTTAAAGGCCAAAGAACCTTCAGGAAGAAATCATCTTGTGAATCGATGAGAAAAATATCCAGTGCATCTCAATGCCAATAAAACTCCTCCCTCACTTAAAGTAAAAGTGTGCCAAGATTCAGCTACAGTATTTACAAGAAAGTTATTGCTTGATCTAATCATGAGTTTAAAAGAGGAATTAATGAAATAAATTTGCTTGTTTCCTTGCTTTCTTCTGAAACTACTAATACTCTGAAGGCACAATGTGTTTCTCATATGAGCTTGTAAATGAGCAGGACTTCATGGAAATGACAAAATGGTAAATTACTCTAGAAATCAAATGTACTTCAATCATTCCGGCTCCTCTCCCCCAGACAAGGTGAACATGTTTATGATTACAAAAATGTGTTTTCCACAGATCTCATATAGATATGCAACCTCAAGTGTCTGTCCTCAAATGTCTTCTGTCATAATACTCTGTATATTGATGTATTAAGCAGCAAAGCTTTCTTATTAAAAACACAACTATACTTACCTGGAGACAGAGTTCCAGAATCTTCTTGGATCATTCTAGATAGTTACAGAAATAAGCTCACTGAGATCAGAAGCCTCTACCCACCACCCTGTAGGGTTGGGATTAGGTAATTAATAAATGTGGCCTGGCTAAAGACCCACTCCTAGAGCTTAACACTGTTAAATAACAAAAACTCAATCAAGTAAATTTGAAAGATCTAATTGGCTTTATTATTTGACTCATGAATCCAGCAGCATCCCCATCTAGCAAGTAGAGAGGAGTTCAAAAGAACCACAGAAAAGAAAAGGCTTTTAAAGGTGAAGAGTGAGGGGCACCTGGGTGGCTCAGTTAAGTGTCTGACTCCTGATTTCTGCTCAGGTCATGATCTCAGAGTCCTGAGATCGAGCCTCACATCGGGGTCCATGCTGAGTGTGGTGCCTACTTAAGACTCTCTCTCTCTCCTTCCACCCCTCCCCCACCTTTCCTCTCAAAAAAAATTAGTAACAAAGAGAGGGAGTGGAAAAAAGGAAATTATTAGCAAGGAACCCATTGTTTTAAGCAAGGTCACCCTCCTAAGGGGAACGGAAAGGGTCCATCAGTAAAATTCCTGGTGCTGAACAGGAAATTCCATGTTGACTGATTAGAGGTTAAAGGCTGAAACTGCAGTTAAGTATTAAGCCTTGCCTTACGGACTCTGGTAAGTGACACCATGCTGGGCCCGTGTTTTCTTTTTAACACGAATGATTGAAAAAAAAAACCCTCCATGACATTGAAACCATTTTGCTATAGTTGCAGAAAATAAGAGACCACATTACCATCCCTTAAGAGGACAGCTACTGAAAACTGATTATTAGGCTTAAACTAATTCTAACTGTTGGGAGTGGGTCCCCCCCATCATGTATACCAGGATGCTTTCCTTAAGAAATGTCCCTGGGGGGGGGCACCTGGGTGGCTCAATTGGTTGGGCGTCTGCCTTCGGCTTGGGTCATGATTCTGGGGTCCTGGGATCGAGCCCTGCATCGGGCTCCCAGCTCAGCGGGGAGCCTGCTCGGGGAGTCTGCTTTTCCTTCTCCTTCTGCCCCTCCCCCTCACTCGTGTTCCCTCTCACTTGCTCTGCTCTCAATCTCAAATAAATAAATAATCTTTAAAAAAAAAAAAGGAATGTGCCTCTGTGTGTGTGTCTGTGTGCACACAAGTGTATACTTGTATTTCTTTTTCCTTTCCCATAGGTTTCCTGCCACTGGTTGGGGGGGTGGAGGGCCACAATCACGTTGGTGACGATAGACATTCTCTCTCCCCGGGGTGGGATGACATCGTGGACAACAGACCAGCGCCACTCCCTGAGCTCTAAGGTGGTGCTGATGAAGGTCACACCCATGACTCTGGTGACACGCTGCTCTGCCGGGACGGGGCTGCTGGCTGGGTAACCCTTCTTCACCAGGAACAGCCAAACCACCAGGTATGTCAGGATGGAGACCCGCAGCAGCCGGCAGAGCTGGCCCTCCACTTCTCCTCTTTGGCAATGACACACTTGGCTGTCCCGCAGGCAAACGCCACCGGCTGAAGCCCCTCGAAGCCACCTGCCCTGCGGAGCCGACTCTCCCTCCCGGGCCCCTCGGCCCCATCCCGCAGCAGCCCCACCGTGTATTGCCCTGAATGATCAGAAAGACAATTTATCAAGTACTTACGGCCCTTCAGGTATGGCCAGCACAGGCTGTGCTGATATTAAGCTCAGCGCATGTTCTTATCAAAAAACACAGGTGCACCGAGCACAGCGGAGGAGCTTATGAGAAACGACTAGAAGATAAAACAGCCGTCTTGGATTTTTTTTCCCACAACATTTATTCTTTTAACTCCAATTCTGCTGCCACCCATTCCTCACAACGCTTTGCCCCAAAATAAGACCAAAGGAAGACATGCGTGTAACGTACAAAAAGACAGTATTTATTTCACTCAAGCTTTCATATAAGAAGTTAAACAAAACGATCCCTAGTTGAAGGCATTACCAAAAACATTCTTAACATTGTTTCACGTGTCCCTTCAGTGCCCAGAGAGAGGAAAAACTTATCTGAACGAAAGAGTAAGAACGACCATCCTTATGGTGGGTTTTCTTAGGAGGGCCGAGGGAAACACAATCCATATAGTTTAGGCGTAACATAGCAAAGGAACCTCCAAGTTTCCTACAGGTGATGGAAATCCCACTGACGTATTCAAGTTCCCTTTTCGGTGACTATCGAAGAGCTATAGGTATTCCCATAATTCACTGCTGCCTTTCCCTCCACTGTCTGACAGCTCAAAGCAGGGAATGGGAACCAAATGCAACATCTCCGCTCTGGGGCTGTGACTGTCACCGTCTTCCATCCCTTGGGGAATCATGATACCAAAGCATCCCCTCCCTCACTGCCATCTAAATAGGATACCAGGAAAAATGGCCCTGGGTGAGGCGTGTAGGTGTTTTGCTTTCCAGAATTATAAAAGACTTCACTGGGAGAGCATCTCAGACACAGGAAAACCCAATGTTCTTTCTAGAGAATCTTGTAACACGGTGGGACACCCACTCCGCCTGTCTCCCACCTCAATCTGACCTTAAAAAAAAAAAAAGGCACAGGGAGGCAACACCCTGACGTCTACCTGTGCCACGAAATTTCCTCCGAGGAGCCAGGGCAAGCTGGTGGCCACCTTGGCCCAAACCCACGGCAAGCAGGCACCTCTGACCTTCTCCCGCGGTCCCCTAAGAGCGGGAGGGGTAAGTCGCAACATCGGAGTGCTGCCCGTGGGTGAGTGTCTGGAGAACTTGTAGGTGTCAAGTTGTCAAGTTCCTACCAAGAATTGGGAGTCTGTGTGCAGGGGGAGAGAGCCTGGGGGGGGGGGGGGGGGGGTGAGGGGAGGGCCTCTCGCTTCTATGCTTTAAATCTGGAGGAAGGAGGAGCAGAGGGAACACCTCAGTGGGTCCAATGCAGGGCTGGGTGAGGAGGGAACCCTAACTCAGTATGCAAAAAAAAAAAAAGAATACAAATGTGGGAGCCTCTGATGCTATCCATATACGAAGCAAAACCTACTCATAACCAGTTGGGGCCGGAAGGGAAAAGGGGAAGACCTAACTATTCTTTTCTGAAGCCAAGAGCAAAGTGCGGAGTGAGACTGTACCTCCTTTCTGTTCAGAAAATGCAGAGAGAAAACAGTAATCCTTGAAAACCTTCCAAGAAATGCAGACTCACGCAGAAGTTACAAAACATGCAAGAATCAGTCACTGTTTCTTAGTCTGCTCACACTTTACCTGAGATGCAAATTACTCCCTGCCCCTCTAGGTGTTCTGAGCAGCTTTACATCCTGCTTTCTAACTTCTAAGGAGACAGGAAAGACGGGCTGTCGGGAATGCGGGTGAACGCGGCGGGGGAGTCTGGGCATGGGAACTGGGGAGTCGAAAGGTTTGGCAACTGACCAGTGGAGACAGAGCAGTAAAGAAGAGGGGAGTCCCGGCCAGACTGTCACCCGCCCGCGCGGTGCCGAACGGTGAACATCTGATCTGAGCGGTGGAGGTGAAGGAGGCTCAGGCGGAACACCGCACACCCAGCAAGCCCCCCTCCCTCTGCCGGGCGGGGAGGGCGGGTGGGGGGAGGAGAGGGGAGCCTGCCGCGGTGTCGGGAAAGGAGTCGCCCCTGCCCCATGCCTGGGCCTCTCAAAGCAGGGACTACTGCTGCTCAGGGGGCTGGTGATTCCAGACTGCGAAGAGATTTAAGAGCCACACACATTCCTCCATGAGATCCCAAACAGATAAAGAGATTTTATCAATTTCGGCTGTAAGATGTTCTCTGTGACTCAGGGTTGGCATTGGCAACTGCACCCAAAATGCGTTTCACACAACAAATCAAATGTAGTTGGTATTGCTGGACACAGAGAATACAAAGCAGGCACAGATCCCTCGGAAATTGTCACAACCCTAGGTAAGATGAAGTCTACTGCCATCATGGCCGTTGGCTTTGTCCCTGACTTTGAAGCCTTCGCAAGGGCCGTCTGCTTTTGTAATTCAACAACAGGGACTCGCTCTCCTCGCCAGAGAGCCCCTCAGGTTTTCTCAGTGCTCAACTCAACAGAAAGGCAGGGGCTCTTCGGAGCTGCCTGTTTGCAAATGGCCCAGTGGTTTCAGTTTCCGTTTCACGAGTTCCCAGATAACAAAACGCAGAATGGGATAATCTTCACAAGCTCACGCTGAAGGTTAAAATAAATTATCCCGGTCACTGAGAGGCTCTCTTCAGGTTTTCTATCAGCACCACAGAGTCGGTCTCTTCTTTGGTTTGCTTCTCGTAGATGTCGTACTTCTTCCAGTGCTGGAAGGAAGGAAAACACACACACACACACACACACACACACACAGGATGACTCTTGTAAACAACGTTCTCTCCCTGAGGCCCTGCTGGGTTATTCTTAGGTTTGCGTGCATGGAACCAGTGAGTGTTTGTTTTCCTGTCACGGTTTTGGTTTGGGGGGTTTTGTGTTGTTTTGTTTTTGACTAAGAATCTTCATCTATTTGAACAATTCATGGAACGAAACAATCGGGAATTGACATTCAAAGGAGAAGCGAGAGCATGGGATGGTTACGTGATGGCTGATAGCTATCTCAAGAGAGAAATGCCGACCTCTCCAAAACTGGAAACAGTCTTTTGAAGAAGAATGAAAGGGCGGCGCGCTTTTCTTACATTAACTGTTCCTACCTTTATTTTCTCGCCACTCCAATTTGCCCATGGCTCCAGAGAGATTAACAGGCTCAAAAAGTCAACGAGCATCGAGGTCAATGGCAATATATAAAATGTCCCAAAAAGTCTCAGTGCAGTTAAAACTTTTGGAAGACCCTATATGGACAGTTTCATGTGACATCATTTGCAAGAAGTGGGAATCATGCATTTAAAGGCAAGCTCATCCTGAACTCAATGTAAATGCATCTCCTAACGGTGAAAGCCAATATCCTGGCCTTTGCCTTCTTTCCTTAGAAATCAAGGAAAAGAGCGGAAACCGAGCTCAGTCCCCTCATCTGTAAAACAGAGTTGCTGGACTAAACCGGAGGTCAGCAAACTGAGGTGGAAGGGCTGGACCCAGCTGGCCGCCTGTTTTTCTAAATAAAGTTTTCTTGGCACGCCTCTTTGTTTCTGTGTGGTCTGCGGCTGCGATCACGCTACAACGGCAGAGGTGAGTTGCCCTAAGAGCAAAGGGCTGGGTAAGTCAAGAATATTTACTCTCTGGTTCTTTCCAGGGAAAGTGTGCCACCCCTGCACTAGATTTTTCCCAAGCTCCTTCTCTGCTCGGATGTTTTCTGGTTCGAGAAGCCTAGGAAAGGCAAGGCAAAGCAGAAAAACAGAAACGAGAGCAACAGTGACTATTCCGCTGCCTCGAGCTGTACAGTTAGAGATGGACTGAGCAGATCGGGAGCATCCCAGTCTTGGAGAGCACAGGCAGGGATGAGCTGAGAGACACTGCTTCAAATATCTAAATTATTCTAAATAAATGAGTTAACCCTCATACTCCTAGTAGAATGGCTAAAATAAAAAAAAAAAATACTGACAATCCCAAGTGCCGACACAGCCGCAGAGTAACCGGAGCTCTCCTGCAGTGCTGATGGAAATGCAAACTAGCACAGCCACCACGGGTCCTTACAAAATGAAGTGGACACTGACTTTGTGACCCAGCAGGCCCACCCCCAAGTATCCACCCAAGAGAAATGGAAACCTATGTCTACACGAAGACCCCCCCATGAAGTTTTATAGTAGCTTTCTTCATAAAAGCCCCAAACTGGAAACAAGCCCACCGTCCTTGAACAAGCGAATGGTTAAATAAACTGTGGTGCAGCCGGATCACGGCATGTTGCTTGGCAACGAAAAGGAATGAACCATGGATACACACATCAACACCGACGGCTCTTAAATGCACCGTGCTGGGTGAAATAAGCCAGACTCCAAAATCTATGTGTTTGGTGATTCCATTCATAACACATTCTGGAAAAGGCAAAACTTTAGGGATAGGAACAGATGAGTGGTGGCAAGGGTATAGTGATGATGAAAATGTTCTCGATCGTGACTGGCGTGAGTAGCAGTGACAAAACTGCACACATGTGCTACAAGTGCAGCCACACAGAATAACTGTGCACTTAAAAAAGATGAAATTGTATTTTACATAAATCAAATCAACAAACCTGGCTTTTGAAAATGTGAAATGCAAAGGATCTAATAAAAAACAGTCTGAAAAAATTACATAACCTTGAAATAATGGCTTATTCAATAAATGGCACTAAGACAACTGGTTACGCATTTGAAAAATAAAGTTAAACCCTACTTGACGGCCCACATGGATCAATTCCCTATGGATGAAAGACCTAAATGTAAAAAACAAAATCAAGTAAGAACTAGAAAAATATACTGGGCAACAAGTACATCAATCTGAGACAGGAAAAGGCTTCCTACACACAAAAAATACAGAAGATTTGAATGCATAAAAAAGAAAAACAACATTAATCACTCTAAATACTACACAGAGACAAACAGACAACAAGCCAAAGGATTAATAGCTGATAGATAAAGAGAGCTTTATGGGGGCACCTGGGTGGCTCAGTGGGTTAAGTGTCTGCCTTTGGCTCAGGTCATGATCCCAGGGTCCTGGGATTGAGAGCAGTGTCCTAACCCTAACCCTAACCCTACTCCCTCTGTCCCTCAGCACTCCCCGTGCATGGGCTCTTTCTCTCTCTCTGCTCTCTCTCCCCCAAATAAATAAATAAGTAAATTTTTAAAAGAGCTTTAGGGGTGCCTGAGTGGCTCAGTCATTAAGTATATGCCTTTAGCTCAAGTCATGATTCCAGGACCCTGGGATTAAACCCTGCATCAGGCTCCCTGCTTAGCGGGAAGCCTGCCTCTCCCTCTCCCACTCCCCCTGCTTGTGTTCCCTTTCTCACTCTCTCTCTTTCTCTCTGTGTCAAATAAATAAATAAATAAATAAATAAATAAATAAATAAAAATCTTTAAAAAAAAAAAGAGCTTTACAAACTACCAAATTTCCAAAACGTGAATATGGCAGGGAAAAAGAAATGGACAATGAACAAGAACTTCACAAAAGAATTCAAGCCCATGAACATATAAAACAATACAAAAGTTGATCCATAAAATGAAAAGAAGATGCCCTTTTCTCTTCTGTGAATTGGAAAGAATTAAAAAAAAAATACATACTCAGGCTGGCGAAAGCATGACGGAAGCACCGTTCAGACATACAACCTACTTATAATCTATGCTTCTTGTGAAAAATTTAAAAGTATGTATTTTAATGCCCCCCTTTCCCTAATATGAAGGAATCATACTCTGTCTATAACCAGGGTATTTAACAGCATGTATTACAGATTCTTACATACCAGTAAAATTGAGCTACCTCATTTTCTTTACCCTCTGCATAATACGTCATTGTGTGAATGCACCGTAATTTATTGAATCTGTATCCTTAACAGATATTTAGCCTGTATATCCTTTCTGGATGACAATTCGTCACTATTAACCAAAGAATTTAAAAAGTATTAATCTCTTCTGATCCAGCAATCTTACCTGTAACAATATATCCCCCCCCAAAGAACAGAATACATATATACACATAGATGTATAGCTACGACATGATGCCTATAATGATGACATTTAGAACTCATCTAAATGCCCCAACATTAGGGACTTGGTTAAGTATGTTATGATATATTCACACAATGGCAAATACTATATAGCCACTAAAAAGCATATGATAGGACCAGGGTTGACTAACTTTTTCTGTCAATAGCGAGATAATATTTTCAGCTTTGAGTCTCTGTCCCAAAAACTCACTCTGCTGTTACAGCATGGAAAGAGCCACAGGTAACATGTAAATGAACAGGTGTGGCTGTCTGCCAACAAAACTTTTACGGATGCTGATATTTGAATTTCAAATAATTTTCATGTGCTAAGACAAAATATTCTTCTTTAGATCTTTTCAACACTTTAAACATATAAAAACCATTCTTAGCTTGTAGGCTGTAGACAAGTGAGCAGCAGACAAGATCTGGCCCGTGGTCTGTAGTTTACAGAGAAATCCTAGGGGGAAGGTAGTGGTTGGCGGCATTGTTTTGTTTTTGTTTTTAAAGATTTTATTTATTTGTTTGACAGAGTTAAAGAGAGAGAGCAAGCACAAGCAGGGGGAGCAGCAGGCAGAGGGAGAGGGAGAAGCAGACTCCTCGCTGAGCAGAGAGCCGGATGCAGGCCTTGATCCCAAGGCCTGGGGATCATGACCTGAGCCCAACACTTAACCAACTGAGCCACCCAGGCACCCCAGCAGCACAGTTTGTAAACGTCCCCAAATGCCACCATAGAAAACACAAATAGGAAAGGTAACCAGGGTAAGCAGGAAAGCAACTGCCCAGTCCACAGTCACAATCTACGACAGAACCAGATCGAAATGATTCCCTCGTGAGCCCTGAAATACGAATGGGTGGCCAAAGTAAAGACAGCCACAAGAGCACAATGGAATCCATTATGGAGGAGGTATGGAGAAGGAACTGGGAGGACATCTGATAGATCTGAGAACTCTAAAATAACTCAAACCCCAGCAAGCTAATTTATGTACAACAACTAAGACCAGCAGGGGTTTGCCCTTTCAAATAGCGACAGTGCAAGGAGTCCATGCTGGAGCCTGGGAGCAGCCTGGGCCCCATGAACTCGCAAAGCCATCCAAAGCTCTCTTCTGGGGCCAAGTTCCACTCTGAGGAGCAACTGATGCACAATGATGCCACGGTGACCCAGAGACCGGGTGGCTCAGTCAGTTAACTGCCCGACTCTTGACTTTGGCTCAGGTCATGATCTCAGGGTCCTGGGATCCAGCCCCGAGTTGGGCTCCGCGCTCAGAGGGGAACCTGCTTGAGATTCTCTCGCTCTCTCCCTCTGCCTTTCCCTCTGCTCACGTGCACACACACGTGCACATACACATTCTCTAAAATAAATAAATTTTTAAAAAATCTTTAAAAAATGAAGGTGGTTAAAAATTATTCAAGAGGATGTGACAAATACAGAAGACGGGCAAAGAAAACAAGGGAATGGAATAACTGAAGTCCAGATATTTTTACTGAAATTAAAAAAAAAAATCTAAGACTACATACTGAAAGGGTACACCACCTACCTCAGAAATCAAGCCTAGAAGACCAACAACAAGACATATTCTGGTAAAATTATTGGACTTGGAAGAAAAAAAAGCTTTTGACAATCAGACAGAAAAGACCAAGTGTTTGTCTTTAAAGTATGCTCTATGCTCAACGTGGGGCCCAAACTCTAGATCCTGAGAT